TTAAATTGCTTGAGTTTGCTGATAATTCTCAGGATATATTTTTCAGAGTTCTTTACAGATATATTGTTGTTTTAAAGGACATGGTATTGAAATTTCAACTGGAGCAATACACAAAAAAATATCCCCTATTTCTTCTGGAACAGAATCTGGGTAAGATATATTGTGTAGATTAACAGGCTATATAGTCTAATCCAGCACACGGATCTCAGAGGATTTAGGCCCATATGATTCTGCCCTGGTCATAACATAGGGCATTTCCTAGATAAACAGAATACAGGTAATTCTCGATTTAGAACCATTAATTTAGTGATCGAAGTTACACTGCCACTGAAAAAAGTGATTTACAACTAACCTTGCACTTACAACCGTCATAGCATCTCCATGTTTATGTAATCAAAATTCAGGCACTTGGTATCCAGTACGTATTTATGATAGTTGCAGCATACCTGGGTCAGGTGATCACCATTTGTGACTTTCCCATTTGGCTTCTGACAGTCAGAAACAACAATAATTTTGTTGCATAAAAATAAGCTATGAAATGGAAAACTGTAGTATTTACTGTATGCTTCATATCTATGACATACTATTTATTTCTCTAATTTTTACTTCATTTCCACTTTATGTTTACACAAACATACCATTTGCATGACTTGTTCTCATTTATATACATTTGATTTACTCAAAATACCAAGCCACAGATCATTTTCATTAAAAATAACTAGGGTACTGATAGCTTTATCAAAGGTTTTAGTTATAAAATATTGTAAAATTGTTCCAAAATTTTGATACTTCCTCTGAATTTTTAAGTCTTGCTGATTTTTATAGCCCACCTTTAACCCAAGGAAGCAAACAGGCCTGATACTCCTTCCTATTTTCCCCACAATAATAACCCTGTGGGGTGTTGGGCTGAGAGAATAGAATGACTGGCCCAAAGTCACCCAGCCAGCTTTCATGCCAAAGGCAGAACTAGGACTCAAGAGTCTCCTGTTTTCTAAGCCAGTACCTCAAACACTACTCCAGGGGTCTTCAAACTTGGTCCTTTTATGACTTGTGGACTTCAACTCCCAGAATTCCTCAGCCAGCGTGCCTGCCTAGGCATGCTGGCTGAGGAATTCTGGGAGTTGAAGTCCACAAGTCATAAAAGGACCACGTTTGAAGACCCCTGCACTACACTAAACAGGCTCTGTAGTTGGTGTAGTGATTGATATAAATTACAGTTGATGTAAATTTAATACTTGCGACTGAAGATGATTTCTTTTAATAGCACATTATTTCCCAGTTTTTTCCACTTTTCATCTTGTACATATAATTATTTCCCTCAGCCTCTTAAACCATTTTTTTCATATTCCCTTTTCTCCTGTGCTACTTGTTCTTGTATCTTTGAAAGATGCAATCTAACACAAACACTAGAACAAATCTGTTCAGTAACACATCTGTGAAACCATTCCACAGATCAGACTGCACTCTCTCAAATTGGCCAGTAAACCAGACTGTTGTGTTATCATCTGCTTTATTTCGGACTACCTAAATTAATGCTTGCCTGCTCTTAGGGCTCCAACTCATGGAAGAAGATAAGAACATGCCTTCCAGACATCTGAATAGCAGCCTTTACTTTTTACAACACCCGCATTAGAAGAACTCAGCAAACCAGTTTACTAATACTTTCAGCCTCCCATCTCTCTTAAAACCTGGATGAAGTATGTGATAATAAAACTAGCATGGTCATTTCCAGTTTTTACAGGTAATAATCTTATGTAAATAAGAGTGTTTCCAGCTCTAGGGCCTCTTTTTTCCCTTTGGTCAACTTCTGTGCTGCCTTAATCAAAAAGTGACTCTAGAGACTTTATACAATAGGACTAAAACGTCCAGTAAATAACAACTAAAAACAACAAAACAATATCACCAAGTACTGTATATAGGGTTTATTGGAAAACATAACACCACAAATATATTGAGACCAGACCATAATCCTGCAGGTATGACAAGAGCCAGATTTTTATGAAAGCCTCAAGAGTTGGACCACAAAGAACTCAGTGGTCATGTTGTTCCACAGGACAAAACAGCTACCATGAAATGTTTTCTGAGTATCGTAAGGTGTGTGTTTTATAGCTAAGAGCAGAAATTTGCCAACACTTTCAGATCTTACTTAGGCAGTAACAACAGAAAAGCATCCCTGTAGATCAGGGGTCCCCAACCTATGGTCCGCAGCCCTGTACCAGGCTGTGGCCTATTGGCTACTGGGCCGAGGGAACAGCTGGCGAGCACCCCTCCACTTGCGATAGTGCTGCCACATGGGTGCTAGCAGCCCCATTTGCGCATGCGCAGGGGCGCTAGCACTGCCACCAGTGTCATGCAGGTGCCAGCGGACTGTTTGTGCATGTGCATGGGTGCCACTGCGGCTGTGCATCCTGCTTGTGCATGTGCGCTAGCACCATGTGCATGCCCATTTGCACAAGTGCACATGGGCCGCACGTGCGCACATTTCCCTGCTTCTCCCTTTTCTTCTGGGCCAAGCCAGAAAGGTTGGGGAACTCTGCTGTAGATAACTAGGAACTGAGCTATTAAGAGCTTTATAAGTAACATCATGAATTGCAACCAGAAGCCCACTCGCAAGCCCGTGCAGTTAACAGAGCAGCATTTTGTGTAAGCAAGAAGCACCCATTCTGCATTTTGGATGTTAGCTTCAGACTAATCTTCAAAGATAATCTTCAAGGGTAGCCCCATGTGGAGCACTTCTTTATGCTGCCTTTGAATCAGTCTTAACTTCTGGTAACTGCAGAGACTGGTTCCTGCAATTTCTTTTGCAAGATTTGTCCAAAGTAGTTTTCCATTGCTTTCTTCCAAGATCTGGGATTGACTGGCCCAAAGTCACTCTCCTACCTTTAAGCTTAAGGTAAGACTGGAACTCACAGTCCCCCAGTTTCTAGCCTCTTGCTTTAACAACTACACTAAACTGGCTCTTGGAAAACATATTACAATAGTCCAAATGGAAAGTGACTAAGGAAGGAATGACTGTGTATGGCCTGTTCATCAGGAAAGGAAATAATTTGCACACCTAATAGATCCGCTCAAAGGCCCTCCTGTCCACAACTACTACTTTCTCACTGAGCAAGAGCCCAGAATCCAGGACCCCCAAATTTTGTAGTGGTTCTATCTGGGGCAGCCTCACCCAATTAGGGTCACAAAATACATTACGCAGAATTGTTTTAGATTATTGATCAATACACTGGATAACAAATATAAACCCATGGCTTTGTCATTAAAACTAATTTAAAGTTAAGTAGGATGACCAAGCATAGATCCTCCTATGATCTATAACCAAGCATAGGTCATCCTTTGTACAAAAATCATGATACAAATGCCAATTACACATCCAATCATTTTTTACCAGAGATTGCTCAAGGGCTGTATAGACACAAGGTACAAACCGAGGCAGATTTTAAGAGTTGTATTAATAGTATGCCGTCTGTCAGGGTCTCATTGCTATTTTAATTGATTACCCACACATATTTTTTTTGAAAAAAAAGCACAATCTTTTATTAAACCGAATTGTGAAAATGCCTCCCAAACGCTCCAAAATGGGGAACGAAGAAAAAAAGTCTTCAAAGCAAGCCACCCCGTGCCCGTCTGTCTAAGCGCAGGACGCGGCAGCCAGAAGGGAAACCATCGGGCCTTGCTCCACTCCGCTCCGTCTGTCCCAAGCAGGCTACAGAGGGCAGAAGTTCAGAAGACGGCCCTCCCCGCCACGTAGGTGTACGAAACACGTCGGAATCAATATCAACCGCTCAAGTCAGGACCCCCAAATTTTGTGCTGGTTCTATCTGGGGCAGCATCACCCAATTAAGGTCACAAAATACGTTACGCAGAATTGTTTTACATTAGTTATTGATCAATACACTGGATAACAAATATAAACCCATGGCTTTGTCATTAAAACTAATTTTAAAGTTAAGTAGGATGACCAAGCACAGGTCCTCCTATGATCTATAACCAAGCATAGGTCATCCTTTGTACAAAAATCATGATACAAATGCCAATTACACATCCAATCATTTTTACCAGTGATTGCTCAAGGGCTGTATAGACCCAAGGTACAAACCGAGGCAGATTTTAAGAGTTGTATTAATAGTACGCCGTCTGTCAGGGTCTCGTTGCTATTTTAATTGATTACCCACACACATTTTTTTTTTTTAAAAAAGCACAATCTTTTATTAAACCGAATTGTGAGAATGCCTCCCAAACGCTCCAAAATGGGGAACGAAGAAAAAAAGTCTTCAAAGCAAGCCACCCCGTGCCCGTCTGTCTAAGCGCAGGACGCCGCAGCCAGAAGGGAAACCATCGGGCCTCGCTCCACTCCGCTCCGTCTGTCCCAAGTCCCAAGCAGGCTATACAGAGGGCGGAAGTTTTCAGAAGACGGCCCTCCCCGCCACGTAGGTGTACGAAACACGTCGGAATCCATATCAACCGCTCAAGTCAACAAGCACAAGTCCCGGATGGCTTGAAGGAGGCGGTGCAGAAGGGGGAAGATTCCGCAGGATAGGCAAGGCGCTCCCTCCTTCCTTCCTCGTTCGGGGAGGGCTGCAGGGCTGCAAAGCTTAAGACTCGTCGGGCTTGTCGGCGGGCGGCCCGCAGGGTTGCAGCATCTTCTCCATGAGGTTGAAGCGGACGCGGGCCTTGCTTTCGTTCTCGGCGACGGCGAAGTAGTTGAGCAGGTCGAAATGGCCCATGTAGGAGCAATAGGAGTCCCGGTGCTGGTTCACCAGCCACTCCCACTTGGTGGTGTCGGCATGGCCGGTCCCGATGTATTTGGACTGCAGGTGCTCCAACTGGCTGTGAATCGTGTAACGGTCCGTCATGATGCGCGAGAGGTTAGGACGCCAGCCCGAAACAGGCAGCCGCGCGCCAACGCTCTTTGGGAAATGGAACCCGGAGGAAAAGGCCGCCCAGCGTCACTTCCGCTTCCGGCTTTACGACCGGCATGCCGCCTGGCGCCAATGTTTCCTCTCTAGCCGTCTTTCGATTGCTATGGATCATAATTTTCGTGAGGTGGGAAGGGGCGGGCTTTAGATTCTACGAAGCCAGTAAGGGTTGTTCCCGCCTTCTGTTTAAACGAATGGAAGGGCCGGTTTCCCTTTTAATTTGAAAACGTCAATACAAAAGAAAGACTCGAAGTGCATCTTGGGGGTTGGAGTCTTTGAAGAGGAATTCTCATGTGACATTTGTATCTCCTGTAGTAGTTTTCTCGGCAGCCCAACAGAGTGCTTTGCTCTGCCACCTTCTGGGATTTTTAAAATGATTTTCTAGCTCATGGGACAGGAATTTCGGGATAGTCTCTTAGGCAGAAGCTAACCAGGCAGAATTTTGCTTACTGTCTCAGATAACTTCCCTTGTGGGAGATTAAAAATTCTTTGTATTATCTCT